AAAAATATTGCATTAACAATCGAGGTATTTTATTATCTGTGCTTGTTAAAATTTTATTCGTGCAACCTTTTTTTCGAATAATAATAATAATAAATTTATAATTCATAGCCATATATAATAACAGAAGATAATGAAATTATTACTGATGAAAGAGTAGCAGTTACTAATAATAATAGAACAAACGAAAGAGAAAAATCAGCGAAAAGAAATGAATTGATTGAATACAATTCACAAGATTCCGTTGCAAAAAATAATCCTGTTTATTTAGAATGGAGTGGTATAAATTATTACATAAACCAAAATTCTACGCCGCAGAAACAACTAGACAACTGGAAATTTTGCGCAATAAACAAAACACAAATAATGATTTAGAAAATGGAAGCCATGATTTACGTAGAAAAATTATTGAAAATATTCACGGACGTGTTAATCCAGGTAAATAAAAAAACGCGAGTAAGGAAATAATTAATAATTAATAATAGTAACCAATAACAGTAATTATTTATTATTAATATTTAATAAATAATATTAAATAATAAATAATAAATAATATAATAAATATTTATTAACATAATATAACAATATTTATTAATATAACAAATAATTAATATTAATATAAAAAAATGCTTAATAGGTGAAATTCTCGCTATAATGGGACCATCTGGATGTGGTAAAACAACTCTATTAAATCTTCTCGGAAATAGAGTAAATAGTAAAAATGTTGAAGGGACAATACTTATGAATGGTCATAAACCTACAAAAGATTCAAAACGATTTGTGTCTTATTGTACACAACATGATATATTCTTTCCTCAATTGACAGTACGAGAGACTGTAAAATATACGGTGCGTAGTAGATTGTTGTATAGATAAATTTATAAGTTTGATAATAAATCATTATTAATATCATACAACGATTACAAGTTTAAGGCTTTATTGCGTCTTCCACGTATAAGGTCAAAACGTGACAAATTAAAGCAAGTTGAAAATGTGATTCAACTATTGAATCTGTCTAAATGTTCAAACACACTGATTGGAAATAGTGGATCTGGAGGTATTTCAGGCGGTGAAAGAAAACGTGTTAGTATTGCAAGCGAATTGTTAACGGATCCTAGCATTATATTATTGGATGAACCGACCTCGGGACTTGGTATGTATTTATTTTTCATTTACTGTTTACTTTTTTTACCTTAAATATTTTTTTATTATGCTAAAATAAATGTGGTTATTATTATTTAGATTCTTCGTTGGCTTTAGAACTCACAAACATTTTAAAAACTTTTGCATTAAAACATTCTAAAACAATCATTATGGTTATTCATCAACCATCCTCACAAGTATTTGAGCTTTTGGATAAATTACTACTAATGGCCGATGGTCGCATGGTATATTTTGACGACCAAAAGAAAAGAGTAGATTATCTT